GCTTGGCCGTTATGTACTTGCGCACTTAATACTTTTATGTAATTGTTGATGTATTTTATTTATTTGTGTGGTAGTTAAGGTAACCTCCATTGTGCGCTTTGTTGTTAATGCTTTTTGTTGTGTAATAGCTGCAGTTGTTGCTCCTGTTGCTTTTCGTATAGTTGCTTGCTTGCTGTTGCTGTTGTTGTTATGTTTTGATTTGATTTTATTCGTGTGTTATAACAATAAAATATTAATTTTCGTGTAAAGTGGATATAACAATATTTGGATGTGTGAGATTTTCCTGCGCTAAACTGAGCTATGCGATGCTGCGATGGGCAGGCAGAAGGAGGGGCCACTGAAAGCATGGATATTTCACTTAACGACTTATGGTTATTGTTACGATTGCATGTGTGGAAACGAGTTCGGCGAATGAAGATGAAAAAATGCATTAAACATGACAACTTCAAGGATTTTCTGAATATATTGAATTCAGCGCCACCTAGCGGATCTTTATCCTTTATAAGAGTCTAAGGAATGTACTGTTCAAATTTAGTTAAAATAAAAAAATAGTAGAAATTACTGCCAGCGGAATTTTTTTCCTAATAGTATCTAGGGATGGACAAAAAAAAATAAAAAATCAATTAACTAATCATATGATTAATCACAAGCCAAAAAAAAGTAATTGTAATTAATTGCAATTATTGATAAATAATCGATTAATCGACTTTCAAAAGGCACTTTTTACAGTGGGTATTGGTGACATTACAAGTTCAAGTTACGGTGTGATTACCTTAAGAGGAAATCAGGTTTTTTTTTAGCTCTAAATTCATTTTAAATGCTGTACTTTTTTGAAAAATATAACCAATTTTATGCCGAAGCAGTTCTTTTTTAGTTCTTAGAGGATTTTAGTGAGCAATCTACCGACTTTCGCACAAAACTGTATTTTTTACAAAGATTAGTCCGGGCCTTTCTATATTAAGAAACGTTATGTATATATGTATGTATATGCGGGTTAAATTAAGAAATAATGTATAAATCGAGTCGGCTTTATAAAAGTCTGCTATGTGGCTTTAAACATATGGTGAGTTCTCCTGTATCAGTCTGGTCGTGTTGGTATCAAAACTTTGTATTTCTTTGCGAAAGTGACTGAGGTTATACAACAATAGGTAATGATGGGTTTCGAGATGATCCCCGACTTTTCTAGGAGAACCGAATCACTTGGGTTAAAAATTTTGCCAGAGCGTATTCGAGCTCTATATACTATTTACAGATCTTGTTTTGAAGTTAAACTCCTTTCCGTTCATTCTCCGTCGCCTATATAAGCAATTAAAAATAAGCAAAAAGTTTCTAGCTTTCATTTTTGGTATTTATTTTCTGCTCCCCTTGTCCGCTTAACCTCTGGACGATGAGTAACACAAGTCGCCGTCGCCACCGTCATCGTCATCGTCATATTTAGCAAAGCGTTTCAACATTATGAACTTTTATTATCACCACAAATTAGTTGTAGCATGTCTTATTTACTCAGAGTTCAGCTCAAGTATGGCAGATTCCGAGTACTCACAATGACCTCTCACTTCCTTCCTTTAGCGCTCGCACTTATAGAAAGCAACCAACATACGCACACACACAGTCATACAGCGAAATGTGTAACACATACTTACATACATATATTGGAAGCGAGCAGTTGGCAGTTGTTGCAGGAAGTCACTGAAGTAAGTCATAAGCCAACAACAGCAGACACTTGTCCTTAACACCAGAGTAAATACAAGTGAATATACGCGCAAGGATGCAGGTGTGTGTGTGTGTGTGTGTGTGTGTGTGTGTGTGTGTGTTAGAGCAACTACTTCAAATTTATTTAATACGAATGTCCACTTTGCTGTTTATTTTTATTTCTCTCCACATTATATTGTTCTAGCAATAAGAATAGGCATACACACACACACAC